AGGAAGGGTCTCCCCAAGATGATGGGTGCGGTGGCGTCAACCTCACAGTCCATAATTAGAAAATCGACAGAAAAATGAATTTGTCAACCCACGATGACATCTTCAATTCGCCCTTCAGGACGCACATGTGAACGATCGGCTAATTGCAAAATGACAGATGTGGGTCTCGTATTTCCTATCCCAAGCTTTACGAAAATTGATTTATGCATCAAGTTTACACTCGAGCCAAGGTCACATAGTGTCTTCCCAATAAATTTATCTCCTATCGAACATAGGATGATAAAATTGCCGGATCATGTCTCTTAGGTGGCAGCTTGCTTAAGGAAGAGCAAAATTCTTTTACCGTGGCAATTGTCTCGTACTGCTCAGCCTTTCTTTTCTTAGTAACAATCTCCTTAAGAAATTTAGCATAAGTGGGCATTTGTTCCATGGCTTCCAAAAAAGGAACATTGATTTGAAGTTGACTCAGAATGTCAACGAACTTCTTAAACTGGATATCTTCGTTATGCTTCTTCAGTCTTTGCGGAAAAGGAGGTGGGGGTCGGGCTTCAAGTACTGACGGGGTGCGAACAGAAGTTGCCTTGGCATTTTTATTTGCCCCCTCAGTTTCTTTACTTGATAAATCCTCAGCCTTGTCCTCTTCCTCTGGTGCTTCTTCCAGTACTTCTTGCTCAACTTGCACGATTACAGGAGGTGAATCATCCTTCGGTCTTCCCCCAAACTTATCTTCGACATTAATTTGTGTACCACTTCGGAGAGTAAGCACACTGCACTGTTCTTTGCCATGAGGTTTTGTGACTTCAGTGCCACTCAGTAGATGTCCTGGTCTGCGTTCTTGTAATGCCGTGGCAATTTGACCAACCTGACTCTCCAGTGCCCTTAATGACGAACTATGGCTCTGAAGCAGGGCTCCTTGATTTTTGATGAAGGTCGTATGATCTTGCAACATTGTCTTCGTTGTTGCAATAAACTCTTGCATTGTGGCCTTCAAAGAACTGGTGTTTGATAAAGATGGCCCTCCTTTGTGAGAATTATGTCATGGTATATTCGATTAAAATCCCTGGGAGTCATTGAAATTCTGCTGCCGAGCTGGTTGATGAACAATACTAGTTCCTTGATTTCCCCACGAAAAAGTTTGGATGTTGACGACATCCAGGATTATATGTGTTGGAATAGGGGTTGTTGTTACCTCGGTTGAAGTTGCCTACAAAGTTGATGGATTCTTGATTGGTCGGGCAGTCATTCTCATTGTGATTTTCGTGGCATAATAAACATGCTGAATGGGCTGCCTTCACTTCTCTCACCTCACTTGCCTTTTCAAATTCTTCAACATGTTCGTGATAGCAGCAAGTTGGGCGGACACCGTATCTTTGGAATCTTGCTCAAAAGCTCCATGTGTTTTTCGCCCAAGTCCAAGCCTTGTGGATGGAAATTGATAATCGTTGGTGGCAATCCAATCCAGAATGTCAAATGCCTCTGCTGGTGATTTGTCAAGTAACGTCCCATTTGTCGAGGCATCTAGTATCATCCTCGTGGGTGCATTAACTCCATTGTAGAACATCACCACTTGCGTCCAATCTTGAAAACCATGATTTGAACACTTACGAAGCAAGCTTTTATATCGGTCCCAGCACTCATACATTGATTCGTCATCAGCCTGACGAAAAGAAGCAATGTCATTCCTCAGTTGGGTGTTCATGTTCGAAGGATTATACCGCAGCAAAAACTTTTTGCACAGATCAGTCCAAGACTCCATTGAACCCGCTGGAACGCCACTCAACCAAGCCCTTGCTCGGTCACGCAGAGAATACGGAAATAGCTTTAATTTCAAGACATCTTCATGCACTCCTTGTTGGCGAAAGGAATCACACACCTCCAAGAAGTTTCGAATATGCTGTCTGGCATCTTCATTTGGCATGCCCCCGAATTCCCATATGGAATTCAACATATTGAACATGACAGGTTTGAGCTCGAAGTGGGCTTCCTGAATTTCTGGTGCCACTATTCCAAGATTTAAGTCATCCAAGATTGGGTTTAAGTGATCACGAATGGCACGAGGTCTGGCTGCATTCCCAGCATTTGGAATTGCCCCGACATTCTGATCATCCTCATGACCAATACCTTGATTTCCAATTTGATACATATTTGCACGTTGATCACGTCTTCTTCTCCTAAAGAGCCTCTCGATCTCAGGTTCAACCGATTCTAATGGCTCGTCCGAATGTCTTCTGGTCATACACCGCAAAAAACCTGAAAAAGATAAGGAAAATAAAAAGTAAAACTATTTTAAAAATTAAATAAATAAATAAACAAGTAAAATAATAATGCTATGACAAAATAATTTAACTTCCAGTTGCCAATCCCCGGCAACGGCGCCAAAAACTTGTTCGCTGTTTGTGAGTACTATAAATGGTGCGGATATGTGTGCAAGTATACACAATCGAACAAGTAATAAAGTGATGAGTGAGTATCGTTCTCCACAGGGATTGGGGGAAATCAAATAAGTTTGTCACGGCACTTTAATTTATCACCTAAGTAAAGTTAGAGATGGTATATATACAAATGATGATGCTGTGGCAAAATGAATGGATGATATGGAAATTAAACGATGGCAATGTGGTAGCAGATGAATATGTTGTGGTAGCAGATGAATATGTTGTGGCAAAATGGATTGTGTGTAGTGCAATCAAATAAAAATGTAAAGGCAAAATAAACTGTAAATACTGGATTTGCTTATAAGAACTTTAGACTCCTCACACAACAAACTACTATGGGAATGAGTGATAGGAGTCACTTAGGAAAATCTAAGTTTACTTCTTAGAATGGTCTTACTTCTATGTCTTAACTGCCCGACAGAGTTTACTAAGGGTGCCCTATGCTATCTCTAGTTAAAGGACTCGACAGATTGAAGATGCCTTGGCAAAACCGATTGGCGTTAGCTACTGCAGGGATCCTATTGGTCCAAATAACATGATATGTCTCGGCAATACCTTTTTGCGGCAGCATTAACATCTAACCTATCGCTCATGCACAACTCCTTTTAGTAGAATGAAATCCTAGCCTTATCTCTAAGGTGGATTAGGCCTAGTTACTATCTAGAACCTCTTGCTTATGTGGTTCCTCCCTAGTTTCTCTCGAATACTAGGGATGTGCTACTTAGATATTCTCTCGAACACTTAGTAATCTCATAAGGAATGGCTACTCTCATAGCTCCTACAACCTTAAGGCATTAAGATCCATAAACAAAACAATTAATAACATAGAAAAACAATCATTCATTAAAGCAAAACTTAAATATCCAAAATGAACTCCCACCAAATAGGATTAGTTCATGGTGGGGTTCAAAATAAACAAGCACAAAGCAAGTTAATCCGTTCCTTACAACCCGAATAATAATAACGAAAGCAAAGAGCAAAGGGAATGAGGAAAAGCCTTCGACGTGCACAGCCGGAGCTTCCCTCGGCCACCACGAACAGTCCTAGCGATCTAGCTCCTCTCGGACACCTAGAACGCCACTCCCTCTAGCTGTCAACAGAGGAATGCCACGGCAAATCGGATTGATGGAGAACTTTTTCTCTAAATTTTTAGGCTCTTGGCGGCTGTCTAAAAATCTCTCCAAGTCCCCTCAAAAAGTCAAGCTTCTTCTTCTATTTATAGGGGAGAATGAACCTAGGGTTTTGTGTTAAAATTACCCTTGCACCCTAAAGTTCATTCCTTTTATGCGAGAGTTGGTGCAAAGATGGTAACTGGCCCCTCCTTTAATGCTGATTGCAGAAAACACTTTTTATGCCATGACAGATGGCTCTTACTAAAAATATATTCTTTGACTTTTTATGCCCAGAAATACCGTCCGAGATGTCGCGGCAATCGCATTTTGCTCAGTAGTCTCCTTATGTCATGGCATTTCCCTTTTGCTTTTCCTTGCTCCCAAATCCTACACATCATTAAACAAAACACCTTCCCCATAATACAACACTGATTACAAAATAAAATACCGCGACAAACAAAATTTCACCACATGCAACTATATGCTCCTAAATGCATCTATATGATCCTAAATGGGCTTTTAGACAATCAATAACTTAAGTGAAAAGGTCCCAAATATGACCTTTTAACGGAGTTATCACACCCCCAAACTTCCTCAAAACCAAAGGCTTATTTTGGACATGTCATGGTCCATTCTCAAGCACCTAGTCTCTAATAGAAGCATTCCCAAACGAAAAAAACGTAAAGATTTGCACCGGCAAGACTAACCTTTACAGGAGATGATTTCCCCCCAAAGAGAGTTGATAATCCGCTGCATCGAATCGAAATTGGGAGCAGCACCAATAAATTGACCCATAACCGCGAAATTCCATTCAGCTATTCCCTCCTCAATCACCGCCAATGGCGGTTTAACAGTGGGAATTCCATCAATGAACTCAGGGGGGAAATCGAGGGACTGCTCTTACAATTCAATAAATTTACTTATTTTTGTTTGTTCTTACGATTCAATTTTTTTTTATATTTGTTATTAGAGGTATAATTCTTATTTTCGTTCCAAGCCACTAAAATCTTAGAAACATATTTAATTTTTTCCCTTGGAATTTTATAAATCCGCACATTTTTAAATTTTAGAAGTTCCATTCTAACATAAAATCTTATGTCGGTTATAATGTTAATTAATAATAATGGTGCTAAATCCTAACCGTTGAACCACGAAATTGAAACTGAGCATTTAGTCGCAATAATACCTAATGAAGTTGGTCACGACCACGTTAAGCCTTGGTTTGACCTACCAAATCCAAAATCAGAGTGTTATCAATTCTAAAATTTCTCTTTGACTCCAAATATATGCAGTGCAGTTCAACCTACCCTTTATTATTATTATTATTATTTTGTCAAAGGTAATCCTAACTTTTTATACAAGTGGTGCAGTTCGGATGTTTGGTAAGCAAAATGCAGTTAGCACACATCAATATAAAGGAAAAGATTTGGTTCAAAGAGGAACGAAGAACTGGCCATCGGAGCTATTTCGGAATGGTGGAGATGGAAGCCAAAGTGGATGCTAATAAAAGGAAAATCAGGCAGCCACTTTCGGTTCCATTCCTATGGGAGGAGAGGCCTGGAATAGCAAAGAAAGATTGGAAACCAGTGGCTTCTTCAGTTACTAGCACATTACCACCTCCAACTCCAACTCCGATCAAGCTTATAGCTTCGGTACCCTTTAATTGGGAGGAAAAGCCCGGTACACCGTTACACACCTTCTCCTGGGCTCCGGTGGAACCAATGGCTTCGCCCCTATCACCAATGCTCACCACTCTGCCTCCAACTCCAACCAAGCTTATAGCTTCAGTTCCCTTTAATTGGGAGGAAAAGCCGGGGACACCCTTACCCGGCTTCTCCCAGCCTGCGGTGGAGCCGACGATTGTGTCCCAATCAGAAATGTTCATGATTCTGCCTCCACCTCCGGTATACTCTCCGGCTTATTTTAATGGCTGCAGCAACAATGATGACCTAGGTGACGGCAGAGATGAGCAAGCAGTTTTTGAAATGGATATGGAAGCATTTGGTTTTGAAACTGATGATTCCTTTAGCTCAGCTCCATCCACAGCGATTTCCACTATTGTTTCAAAGCAGAGAAATCACCGGACGGATAACGGCAGCGACCATCTGGAAACGCTTTCCTCACCAGCTTCAGAAACTGATAGTACAAGCAGCTATGCAACTGGCGCTGCAAACCTTGCAGGGGCTTCTTTCTTGGAATGCCTGTTTCCACTGCTTTCACCTCGTTCTGGTTTCCTGGAAACCGACAGGTACCCTGAACAGAAGTCTCGAGCTCGAAGGGATTTTGAGCTAGAGAGTAATATAAGGAGGCCACCAACACTTGGAGAGCTGATAATGATGAGCAGGAAGAGAAGTTATCAAAGAAAGGCTGCTCAAATAAGAGAGAAGAATATCTCGATGGTAATTCTAGATTTCCCTATTCTGTGTTTCGCCATTACTTAATCGGCTTATTAAGCTGCTATAGAACAACTGGAAGCATGTCTAAAACTCAAAAACAAAACTGTGACAGGAATTGCTGAAGGAAAGAGCTCCTGGATGCTGCATCTTTGGAACTGACATCATTGAATGATTGCAATTGAAGAAGTTCCAACCAAGACTGAAATTCTTCTAGAAGAGACCAAGAGGGCAGCTACTCTAAGAACAGTACGTCAAGAAGCTTCAAAATCTTTAGTCTTGCTTCAGAAAATTAGGATTTAAATGATTTTACAAGTCTGGAATGTAAAACTGTTGTACTCAAAGTTGCAATCAATTCAAGCAAGTCATCTGTGTGTTGAAGATCCAACTTAGTAATTGTGCATGCCAACATCCTCTTGTTTAGCCATGAGAGGAATATCTCTGACTGTGAAATCCAACCAGTGGTGAATGTAATTAGCTCGAATTTGAGAGATTCGTAGTGCATTCAACTGCTTTTCGAATTCGTTCCATAACTACAGGAATATCCTCCTCGGCTAAGGTTGTAAAACAACAACGGAACCATCCTGGTTCTATGCAATGGCAAGCTGAAGCATCCTCCTTTTAGTGGTATAAATATATTCCTCAATGGATCTTGAATCCGAAAGCACTAAAACTAGTAATCTTTGAGTCGGAGCAGTAACAGAAGAAGACCTACTTAACTTTCTTGCCGCAGCCAATACATTCTCAGTAAAGGAATAGATGACACCAACCCTAAATCCTGGAAGAGAGAAGTCCTTTGATAGCTCATAAACTATATGAACCCGGTTTTTATCAAAACCCTCTGAATCAAGAACTTCAGCCATGCTGACAAGCTCTTCATCCCCATACATAGGCCCCACAAATATATCATCTTATATGATATGGATGTTCTTTTCTCGTGCAAAGTCCAAAATAGCATGAAGCATCTCCAGAGAAAGCAGATTTTTGTTCCATGTTTTCTTGTCCGGTTGAATGCTTGAGCAAGTGCAGTGATACTTAACATGAAATTGTCGGTGCTGCACAATGGACGGGTACTAGCTCCACTCCAGTTCGAAATTTCACATCCCTGTCAAAACTGCAAACAGTTTTTGTAATTAATCCAATAGGACCATTTACCCTTTTGTGTGTGTTTTTGGCGGGAGTGCTTTTCTGTTTAGAAAAGAACAGTTGTAATCATATAATCTTTGAATGAGGGCCAAATAGTTACCCAGGATAATAAGGTGTTGGAACTAGAAATGAATTCCCCTGATCCGCCAAGCAGAAGCATAATGTCTCAATTACTGGAGTCCCACCTGCAGTTAAGACCTTCGGTGACGGTTCGAACGAGACAGCTCCTTCCATAATATGAGACATAAAAGCTGTCATAGCCTGCAAAAAACCCAAATAATGGAATAAATAAAAGCAACACCAGACAGTTTAAAAATTCCTATTGTGATACTGTCTAATACATTATGTTTAACATGATTGTTGCTAAATGTAATGGTCAAGAGGATAAATTACACAAAGCATATTGCTTCCATTACAGGTTCACGTCTCTTAATCTCTACTACAAATATAAATGAGTACGCAGAAAGAGTGATGAAAGTAAGCTCCACCAAATAAAGACTCAACAGTGTATGCAGTGTGCAAATATAAATGCCATAAGCTAAAAAGAAAGCCTCATTATCAGAAGCTTTTTGAGCAGTAACTGGTTTAAAGATAAAATAAGAACATGTTGTTCGACAGAATCTGTGAGTCTTAAGTTCTTAAGCCAGAAAAACTTATTCATTTTCCACCTATGCCTTTATATGATAACAATTAACACGCGGAAATATGCAAATTTGTATCCCACTAAACAGTTTAACCTCTCTGGTAAGTAGCAATGCCGTTAACGTTCAATCTCTTCCCATCATCGAGTCCTTCAGATTCTCCAACATCCATTTCCCAATTAAATCAAACCACAGCAGCGGTTTTTTAAAGGAAACAAAAACAAACAATTAGAATTAGCAAATGCCAACGGAATGAGACTATGTTTAAAAAGATAAGCTTGCTCTATTCTCCGACAAGCCGAGCTGGATAACTCCATCCGGGTTACCAAATCAGTCATACGGATCCCCCGATGCCTTCTCCAACCCGATATAATACGGAGAGTCGTTCGGCTTCGCAAGGGAAATGGCCGCGAAGATATCCGAACCTGTCCAATCGAGCCGTGGGAAAACAAACTGGAGCGCATAGAGGTTCTCGTCAATTCCGCCTACTTTGGTGACGAGAACGTGGGAGAACGAGGACTGCACTGAGGGTTGCGAGATCGGTGTCGTTTTGAGGAAGAGTTGGAGGATGTGTGGTATAAGAGATCGAAGATTAGGCCTCCTCTGCCTTGGACCACGACTTGGGTATTGGAAGCGTAGATGACACTCAGTAATTTATATTACTTGAACTATTATTATACGAAGTAAAATATGTTACAGCGATGTTATCAATATTATAACATTATAACACTAACTGCGGCTAGTTTACAAACACAATATCAATATTTTAAGTTTTGTTAAGCTTTATTCAATTCTCTCTAATAGCATTTTTAAGCTATCTCTCATTCTTACATTATAAGATTTTCCTCATATTCCTTCTCTTGTATTACATCTCATACATTGCATATTTTTATAAATTAATTAAATCGACGTATAGTTGATTCCACATTCTTCATGTCGCCTTATAATTCTTCACGTGATCATTATCCTTCTCGAAACAACACTTTATTTGCCTTGATGAAATTCTTCACTCGTTTGCCGCCTTAAACTTTCCTTCTTAGTAATTAAACAAATCATAACTAAATGCGAAGCATTGCTGTCATCTTTGACTTTTCAAAGTTTGTTTCTTAATTTGTTGTGTTGTCACACCATCACTTTGTTGTTGTAATTTCATCACGTTTTTTTATTTTCATAATTTTCTTAATTATTTTAAATGTTGCTTGTTGCTTTCTTTAAATGCTTTTACTTCAAAGTTACTTCCAAACTTTATCGATATTAATGAGTCAAAATCATGTTTGACTTCCAATATTAGAGAGGTACTATGATGTGCATGGCGGCGGCGCCTTTATGATTTGAACGACGTTGGGTTCCGAGAGCGGAGCAGGGTCATGACACACCGGGAAGGACAAGTTTGTCTCTTGACATTTGAGATTTGAGAGAAATGAAAAGAGTGAGGTTAGGCAAATAAGGGAACAGACGGCTAAACGAAGAAAATTTGCGCCAATTTGGTTGTTAAGATTGTTGAGGTTGTACGAGTCTACAGTTATGTCCCTATCTACAACCCCAGTACCCGTCTTTTCTGTTTCTTTTTAATTTAATCCTCATATAATAAATATATAATGAAATTAGTTATAGCTATTCGTGGAAAATATAACTATTTGGTCCTCGAATTCTATCAGACCCATGGCCCCAAAAAGGTTTAATTTCAATTTTATTCCTTTAGTTTTGAAGTTCTATAAATTAAGTCTTGCCTTCTCAAATTTTAGGTTCAATTAGTTTTAGGTCCTTATAATTCTGAAACTAAACCGATTAAGCCTTGGCTCTCTAATTATTTAGTTAAATTGCTTTTAGGTCCATCTTAGTTTTTAAACTAAGCAAATTTAGTCCTAAACTTTCATATTTTTTTAGTTTAAATATTTCTTAGATCCTTGATAATTTTAAAATTAAATAAATTATATGTAACTTTAATTTTAAATTAATGACTTAATAATTAGACCACGATCCTATTTTATTTTTTTATGTTTAACCCTTAAAGTTTCATCATAGCTCTGTCTCTGAGATGCTGAAAATGCTTCGCTTGTGTTAGAAGAAGGGTCAAACCCTTGGACCCCTTGTATAAGCGTCTAGCCACTCGATCACTAAGTTAGGTTGATAATTTTCATAATTCCATTAAAATTAATATTTAAATTAAATTGTATTATCAATTTAAAATTAATTAATTTTACTAGAAGGTAGATTCAAACCCAAAACCCATAGGGTCAGACAATTAATCATTGAGATAAGATGGAAAATTTGTACTATTCCACTAACATTAATATTTAATTTAAACAATATTATTATTTTAATATTAAAATTTTGTTTGAGATTATTGAACTTGAAATGCTCATGGTTAATATTTAATCACTGAACCAAGTAATATAATTTTTAAATTTTTTAATCAGACTAATATGTAATTTAAAATATAAAAAAAAAAAAAAATAAATTAGAATTATTTTCCTCCTCTATCAAGGATTAAAATAAATTAATTAAAAATTATTTCTTTGAAATTAATATTAAATATTTTAAAAATTTACTTTATAACATTTATTTTAAATAAAGTATAAAATAAAAATACTACATTCAAAATAATATATAATACGATTATTATTAAATCATTAAGTTCTTATGTCAATTATGAGAAGCTATGTTGTAACAAAACAATGTTATGAGGTTGTATTTCATTTCATTCGAAGCGAATACAATTTCCTTTAAAAATAATTCAAAAGAAAAGGTGGTGATTTACTTAGAAATCATATCTTGGAACACCTTGCTTCATCCCTATCCCTATCGTGCAATCAGGAAAATCATCAGATATTTCATGAATTACATCCGTGGAAATGTAGTGCTGCACGACCAACACCGATGCATTCAAGGCAAAGTTCGAAGACACCAATGTATCTCCTAATGCCCCGAGCTCCGGGCAAGTACCCCAATCCGACAGTCCTTCGGTGATCGGAGACTTAGCTTCCCCTTGTCTTCTCCCTACTACGTACAAATCGAACACATTATCGCCCAATGCTCTGATCCCTGCTATGGTTTCTTCTCCGTTGTGGACAGTCATTTCAGCGTAACGTATAACGCTATTTTCCATCGCCTTCACCTTTAATTCTTCAATGTATTCGTAGTCGGTCAGCTTTTCTCGTTTAATACTGGTGTTGCTTTGTAGGGTCGGGTCCGTTGTATCTTCTCCGGGGAAAAATCTTGCCACGGTTAGGTTTACAGTAGGGTGACCGGCCATCCTACAAGCATAGGCTAATGCCTCTCGATCATCAGGGCCGCCTACGAATAACATGGCGATTCGACAAGTGTAGTTGCCGGAGGATTTATCGTGTGATTCAAAGACTTTCGAGCTGATCCCTCGGTCAACGAGCATGGCCACGGAGCACGGTGTGCTCATTAACACGTTGTTGTTCACGTTAGCGTAACTTGAGTTGCTGGCTCCCATATGACCGTCGGCTTTCACTTCCTTATGGAATGGTAGGAGAATGAGGTTGACGCATTTGTCTTCCGCGAGACTACATATGTCGACATGCATGGTGGCATAGGGGGATATGACCGACATCGTATGGACCGTCACCGCATCTTCGTCGTTTGATTTCTCGAAGTTCTTGAACGCACGGATGATGTTGGTCTTCTCTGTTTTCGCCCGGTTGAAACGACCGCCCTCGTCCTGGTTGCCCTCGTTGTGAACAATGAGCATCGCTGTGCTGGCTCGTTTCGAGAGCTCAATGAGATGGGTGCCGAAGACGGAGAGAGGAGACCCTTTGGTGCCATGGGAAAGGTTGAGAATACTAAGGGTTCCCATTACATTTCGCATGGAGTGGACACATGCAAGGATCCTTAACTCTGTGTCTGGTTCCGACCCTTTGATGCTCCGATTCACGTGTGTCACGGTTTTCTTCGATGGCTTGTTGACAAATGCGATTATTGGTTCTATCAAACACGACATCACAAGCACTGCGAGCATCATCAATGGAAATGTCTGGTTGTTCAAAGCCTGCATACACGAATCATAAAGATTTGTTTCGTAATTTGCTGAAATCAAGGTCAAATTATGAATAGAAAAAGAAGCAAAAGAAGAAGAAGATACCTTTATGTTGCGGCCTGTATTAAGGATGATGAGGCTTAACACACCTTTGGTATTCATAAGCAACCCTAGGACCATACTGTCTGTACATGACATCTTGTAGTGTAATGAAACCAGGAAAACACTGACAACCTTTGCAGCACAAGACAAGACGATGACAAGAAACACCATGATCCAAGAGGTATTATCGAACAATACGGCAGATCGGATCGTAGTCCATTGATCAAGAAGAAGAGAGGCATCAAGATCCAGTTCACGAAATCGTTAAGCTTCTCCACAACCCTGGTCCTCACCGCCTCCTCTTGCGGTAAAATAGCACCGAACATGAAGGCACCCACGATAGAATTCGAGCCGCAAGCATCAGTGGTGAGTCCGCAGAGTAAAATCCCCGCCATGATGAACCATATATGTGTGTCGCTGAGGACTTCACCTTCCGAAGTACGTTCGATCAACCAAGCGAAAGCCGGACGGAGTGCGAAAACGCATACCAGTACGAAAACAACCGTAGCGAGTATGGTTTTGTATTTTTGGCCGTTGAAGATCGATATCGCAGTGATAAGGAGAAGCCACGAGAACAAATCGGAGAGAATGGCGGAACTCATGGCTATCTTGCTGATATTTGTGCGGAGGAGCTTGAGGTCGGCGAGGATCCGAGTAAGATCAGGGAGGTTGGTGGATGTCAACGCGATGGCCCAGAACAACGATCCCCTTCTATCGAAATATTCGTTTTCTTTTATCGCCATGAAATACAAGCCAAAACCGAGAAGAAGCGGGAATATAATGCCGGCGGCGGTGACACTTATCACTTGGGCCCCCGATTGCTTAATGAGGGAAAAATCCATCTCTAAACCAACCAAAAACACGTAATACGTCAATGCCAAGTTTGCAAATGTCTCGAGCACCATTATCGTTTTGTGAGGTATGACATACTTTCTCGAGAATTGAGTTTCTGCAAACAATGTCGGGCCTAACATCACGCCGCACTGCATGTACATGAAAACCAATACAATCAAACAATATACACACACACACACTTACATTTACATAATACATATATATTATACTCACTATGATATGGGCGACAATAGGAGGCTGGCGGAGGGGCCTGAGGACGAGCAATAGGAGTCGATCAAGGAAAAGAACAATGAAAAGCTGGGTTAGCAAGAAAGGGAGAGAAGTGTTCAAGGAGCTATGATCTCGCCATAAAGGATCATCGTTTGAATTCTCCACGTAATAACATGCTTCGATGACTTCGTTTGTTTTCTTTATTACGTAGTGATCGTCGGAAGCATTCATGTTGACGACGATACGTCGTCAATCTTCCGACGATTGGAAGATTCAAAATATTCGTCTATGAAAAATGAAATTAAGAATTAATGGGAGGGAGATTAGGGTTAATATAACTGATTTTATGGTTTATATTTGGTAGCTATTTTCCTACGGTATAGGGTTTGTTTTATGCAATTTGTCAAATACAATTCACTATTATACCAATAGATAAAATTCGGTAATTATTTTTCTAAAAAAGAATTCAGTTTTAGGTTACTTTTAAGATCTATATTTTGTACTTTAATTAAGATTTGTATATATATATATATATATATAATGTTTTTTTTGGTTATACGAACAAAATTAGGATGGATTGCTGTGTAGTTAATGAACGCATATTAATTAAATTTCGTGACACTTAAAAGACGTATTTGTACATCATAGGATCGTTGTATAAAAATATACTTATCTTGATAATTATTCGCAAGTGTAACTATAAGAAATGTTAATTCTTTAGACATGCATTATTAATATAACATTTTTAAATAGTTTGGATGATTACATTAACATAACATAATTATATTATAAATATTTATGTCGTGTTTGGTAGTATAAATTATAATTATATGTATAAATTTAAATTTTAAAATCTTATTAATTATAAAATTAAAGAGTACAATTATATATGTAATTACATTAATTCAAATTCTATTTAAGAATCGAAGAGTAATAGGGATTATCAATTATGATGAGTATCCAAACATTCAAAAAAAATCATTAAAGGGTAATCCAATTACTTTTTTTTTGTTGGAAAGAGTTAATCCAATTACTTTCAACATCCATCAAAGTATAATTTAACGAAAATCAAGAGTTATTGTTTTTTTTTCTCAAAAAAGTTTAGGCTAGGAATGGTTCTTTTAGTCTAGGATCAGGACATACTTAAAACCAAATTGAAATTTACATAGGAATTTATAAATTAACCAAAAAAATACGGTTGTAAGAATTAATAATCTCTAATAACATGAAAATATATATTATCACTAATGATTACTTAATTAATGATTTACATTTTAAAAAATGAATGCAAAATGAGTGGAAGACGAGGTACCTCGATTTCTATGGTGGTGCCGTGATGAAGGTCCTTGGAGTTCCACACCTGGTGTGTTTCCTTAGTGGTGTGGGGCTTGATTCTGAAGATGTGGAGTAATAATGGGCAATGGAGGTGTTGATATGCCTGCCTTGCATTTAGGGTTAACCAATCCCAACAGCATGGGCGGCGTGCTCTTGTGATGCCCGACACTCTAGACAAAATTTTGTTAAATATGTTTTCAGTCACTTTCTTCTTTTGGTACAATGTCGTGATAAGGTTCTGAAAAACCAACATGCTAGATTTCTTTCCTAAACACTCATGAACTTGCTCAACAATTATTCGACCAACATCAATTGAATGAGTAACCATAATATAATGTAATAACATTAGATGATGAAGGGTTACCGTTGTGTTATGGGCAGTCAACATGAGCTTATGTTTCATGAAGTGGTTTCGTAATTTCACGCGAGGTTGGAGACTCCCGTTTGATAGAATAATGACTAGTTTGATTGCCATTCCAGTTGGTGTTCAGAAAACACAAATCATATAGTATCCCATCATATATTGCACTATCAGCTTCCTTATCAAAATCCACATGCTGACTACAACACCCTGTAAAAGAAAATAGTGATTAATCACAAATGGTGTAAACGAATATATTTACTCTAACAAAGATGTCATGTTGGTTTAATTTTGAGATGTGTTGAAAATATTTTGATATTTCGATATAACAAATAAATAAATGAATTTTAAGATTTTCCAAAAAGATTTTCTAAGTATATTCGATATAATTATTCGAATATCAAAATATTACTCCAAATCTTTCAAAAGTCATTTTAATCCTTACTCAAGTGTAAAATTAAGTTTTAATCTTAAAATTATTTCAAAATAATTTTACAAAGTATTTTGAACCGTTTCAAAGCCAAAAATTCCAGAATGTCCAGAGGGAACCGATTCCCCACCAAGGGGGTACCGATTCTCCCTTGAATGGTTTGACTCCGAGAAAAAAAGAATGCTCAGAGGGAACCGATTCCCCATGAGGGGGTACCGATTCCCCCCACGCTCTAAGCTGTTGTATTAATGGTTTTCACACTTAAACGGCTCCATTGACTCCACTAATCATCCCCAACGTTTAGAATCAATTGAGGGAGTATTTAAGCAAGTTCTGAAGCCTTTGATCAACAAGAAATAATAGAGAAACAAGAGAGAAAGCATCAAACACCAAGTTTGTACAAATCAAACCAATTTTCCTTTCAATATTCATTTTGCTTTCAAGAACACCATTTGTGCTCATTTGTAATTATTTTTGAGTGTTCTTTTCTTGTTGTACAAACATCTTACCTTGTGTGGTTTTCCTTGTAAGTTTGCAAATTTGTGTATTTCTCTTTGAAAAAGAGTGTGCTCAAGAATTTGGGGTATAATTCTTGAGGGAGTTGTAAGGTTACTCTTTGTCCTCAAAAGAAAGAATAAATTAGTGAATTTGTTGGAAAATCCTTAGTGTGGATAGCTAAGGTAGTAGACGTAGACTTTGGTTGAGAAAGTCGAACCACTCTAAATCGTTGTGCAAATATTTTCAATTTTCTGCAAAAGCTTCCACCAAAATTTAATTGCCAATTCACCCCCCTCTTGGCCATTTCCATCAATCAATTAACTCAACAATTGGCATCAGAGCCTCACTCATTTGAAGGTTTAATCACCTCTTGAGTCGATCCGGGAATAGTTAAATCGATAAAGATGATGTCTACTTCCTGTTCATTCTCCATAGAAGAATCCATACCTATTGACGTGCCTCCACACTTCAATGAACAAATTACGTCATTGGAAGAGGTGTATGATGATATTCATCAAAGCATTTGATATGGAAGCTTGGATGATAATCAAAAAAGGATATTCCTCTCCTACTAAGAAGGCAAAGAAGTGGAGTGTTCAAGAACGGAAGGAAGCTCAACAAAACTCAAAGGCTATGCACATGGTGTGTTGTGAAATTAATCCTAATGTATATGAAGGAGTTTCTTCTTGTTCAAGTGCCAAAGAAATGTGAGGTAAGCTTAAGGAGATCTATAGAGACAAGGAAGAAGAAGAACCAATAAAAGTGATGTCTCTATTAGCTCTCACAGAGCCAAAGGTATCTTCTAACTCAAATATATCAAATTCAAAATCTTTTAATGAGTTACAAGATGCTTATGATAAATTATTTTCGGAGTTTGAGACCATGAACTCCAAATACAATAAATTGATTTCTAATTTATTGCTAAAAATGATATTCTTTTGAAAGCTAAAACAAACTTGGAAAATCAAAATGACAACACAACAACAACAAAACCCAATTCTCATATGCAATGGGGTAAGGGGGAGGTAGGGTAGTAGGCTGTCCCCAACGCCAGGTTGAGAGTAGCTTCCGTGGAAGACCTCCGGCAGTCAGAAAATTAAAAATATAGATAAAATGCAATGCATGTATAAATAAATACATAAATACATAGTTGAACAGTATTCATATGCATACATTAATATCATTAATATCATATGCGCGTTTGTACTTGGGCAGTAATCCCTGCAAATAAATCCATACGAAAAAATCTCTGCATATAGACAGAAACGTAAGACCCGACTAAATTTAAAAGTGAAGAGAATGTTACACAGAAGTCAACGAAAGCAAGCAGTTCTAAGCCTTCATAAATACCAATAACAGAAACGTATAAAAAGTAGAAGTTACCCACACTACTCGACTACCCTAGTTTTGAGTCTCCATACTTTCCTATCAGAGGTCATGTCCTCGGTAAGGGCTAAATCCATCAAATCAGATCTCAAGCAGTCTTCCCACTTCCACCTTGGTCGACCTCGCCTTCTGGCACCGTCGACTGTAATCGACTCTACCCTCCTGAACGCATCCGACGGTAGTCGCCTAAAGACATGCTCAAACCACCGTAGTCTTCCCTCCCTCAATTTTTGGGAAACAGGCACCACCCCCAAGGACATCCTAATAGCAGAGTTTGTTGTCATATCCCACAGAGTCCTACCGCATGTCCATCGAAGCATTCTCATTTTTGCGGCCTCTATCCTCCTTACATGATCCTTCTTGGTTGCCCAACATTCTGATCCATACAGCAGTGCTGGTCTTATTGCCATTCTATAAAATTTTCCCTTAAGTTTTAGAGGCACCTTCTTGTCACACAAAACTCCAGTAGCGGCCCTCCACTTTAGCCATCCCGCCTTTATACGGTGTGTAACGTCATCTTCTACACCCCCATCTTTATGTATCATAGACCCTAGGTACTTGAAACAATCCTTTGAGGGGAGAACGTGTCCTTCTATGCATACTTCTACATCTTCTTCGTTTTGGTCCCCACTGAAGTTTGAACATAAATACTCTGACTTTTCAATATTGATCCTTAGACCTTTTTCTTCCAAAGCAGTCTTCCAGGTAGCCAGTCTACTATTTAACTCAGATTTTGTTTCAACAACTAGGACAATGTCGTCAGCGAAAAGCATACACCATGGTACACTATCAGGTGTCGCACAATAGATGTCGTCCATAATCAAGGCGAAGATGTAAGGGCTAAGAGCTGACCCCTGGTGGAGTCTGATTTCCACTGGGAATGCCTCGGTGTCGCCAACTGTAGTCCTGACGTGTGTAGTAGATCTACAATACATATCACGAATCGGCTGGATATAAGTAGTTGAGATCCGTCTCGTTTCCAAAGTCTTCCAGATCGTATCTCGGGGAACGCTATCATAAGCCTTCTCAAGGTCAATGAATGCCATGTGAAGATCTCTAGACTTTTCCGTATATTTCTCCATAAGTTGTCGAAGTAGATGAATCGCCTCCGTGGTAGACCTACCTGGCATAAAGCCAAATTGGTTTTTCGAAACCCTAGTAACTTGTCTCAACCTAACCTCTATTACCCTTTCCCATAGCTTCATGGTATGACTGAGTAGTTTAATACCTCTGTAGTTACCACAATGTTG